TTCTGTCAAAACGCTTGGAGCGTTTGGTTTAGCAGTTTTAAAATTACTTAAATCTGCCGGAGCTGACAGATTCGCTGCCGACTAGTGATTCCCCTGTTCCACAGGTCGTTCCTTTGGACACCCTCTCGCATAGAAGTCAAACGCAGGATCGGGCTGCTGAACGTGCATAAGGCCGCGGGACCTAATGGCCTTCATCTAGCCCTCTTTAAATTCTGGGGAACAGCTCTTGTGGATGATTTGTAGGACTTATACGTGAACCTGCTGGATAAAGAAATTGCCCCAACCGACTGGAGCTGCTCCGATACTGTCTTCAAGGATAATCACATAGCTACATTCCTTTATAGATAATCCGTGTAGTTTTGTTAGGACAAAGCCCATGCAGGCGCGCCTTGCATTGTCGAGAACATACCATTTATTTATCTATTTTTCCTGGATTACCGCTAGTTCTGGAATACCTGTGTCGACTATGATCATGCCATTTTACGCCGTCATTTTTCGATGAAGTTTATCGAGAGGCGTACCAAGCGCCCCCTCGACTGGCAACTGAGAAGTTATTACAGGCCTCGGTCAGCCAAGCCTATCAAGATGCCCTGCGTACCGAACTTTCGCTCTCTCGTCCTAATAATACTGAGCTTTAGTGGGATTGGATCTCGGCCGTCCTGCACGATGTGGGAGCATCTGCTTGCGACACTATCAGTGGTCACTGGATATCCGAGATGTAGGTGGACCTTCTGGAATCCAGAAGAAAACTCCTGGCTGGCTCTGAGCACAACGTAACCAGACGGACTATTAGGCGCAAACTAAAACAGAGCCTGCGTACTGACAAGGAGGCCTGGTGACACCACTCCGGCTCAAGAAATGGAGGACACTGGAGCAATTGGTAATTATCGCAAGCTTGTTACGTTCGGCCACCGGTGCCTTCGAAGTACAGTTCATATCTGGTGGGAACACCAGATGTGACCAATGAGTGTGTTTGGTGTCTTGTTTATGGCGCAGAAAGAGAAAGTGAACCGCTCATCGCTACTGTTTCAAGCACCAACATGGCATGTGCTACGGATGCAATCCCACCGACTCCCGCGAAGTGTGTCGTTTCCAGGACCGATGCTGAATGGAAAATGAGGAGAGCGACCGATGAAGGGGTCAAGAGAAATGAAAGTTCTCACTTCGAACGGCATTGGGTTGAGCCACTCGACTTCCTTGTCGGGGTGCGAAACGATGAACACACTTGTAGTTGGATACACCTGTTGACACGGCAAAGGGCCGGAGTCAATGGCGTCTGTGTCGTTGTTTGGTCTCTTCTCCTCAAGCATGGCCTCTTCAAACAGTCTCGCTATGGATACATAATAAAAAACCTTAATATTTTGCTTTTGCTACGGGTTTAGTCACCACTTTTTAAGAGTTTGTAATCGTACTTTTACGACACAACAGATGAGGCATGTCTCAGCCCTAGCAACCGTGCATGGTGACAATGATGAGGGTATAAGAGGGCTCTGACGCTGGTGTTGCATTTATGATGCGTCTTCACCGCAGTTAGGCTAAACCAACTTACACCTAAACTAGGTCTTTTAAGCTGGATAAATTTCATTCCACTTTATTTGGTTTGTTCTGCCTACTTGGATAATCCTCTATTAACTTGCACACGTTGCTTAAGCTGAGTGTAGTTATATTCGTTATCTTTATTGCGTTTGTAGCATTTTTTGAGTAACTTGTGTAAAATTTTGCACTTATCGCGGATTGGTTGCTAACCAACTTACTTCATATGCTAATTTAGCGGATAATTATGTCGGCAAGTGTTTGGCTGTTGTTTGACATCCCAGGTGTGGCTGCGCTTGATGTGCATGTTGGCAAGGTGCCTACCTGTTTATTACCCACTACCTCCTCCATACTGGCTCTAGGAGACAGTTGGTCATTGTTGGAGGGGATGGGGTGCACGGTCCTTGTGGTCGTGCTAGGCTCGAAGAGTGGTTTCATGCACTCGGTGTGGAGCGGACTACGGTCCAGCCACCGCCTTGTGTGCGCTTGATTCCCCAAATACAGCGTGCTTGTGTTTGCTTGTGAAGGAGTGTGGGCCGGCTCCGTTGATGAAACGTGGCTCCCATCCACATGCCTCCCGGTCTTATTCCTTCGGGTTTACACTGGATATGGGGTGTATGGGTGGTGCAGTGCAAGCCACCCATGGTCCCTCTGTAGGCGCAGGCGTCCTGTGGCTGGTCACAGTGATAGGCAAATCCGAAACCGGATGCCGCCAACTATAAGAGGGCTCTATTTCGTTGTTCTAGACTTTTGCCACTATGAATAACCACCCATCTCCGCGTGGGAGGTTGAAATCACTAAGTAACCCATAGTTAAGTAGGCACCGACGAACATCTGCTCACAACAAAGGCCAGAGGTATCATTTCATCAGAAGTGCAAGCGTGGGGCTATCGCCGTGGCATCGTGCCAATCGTCTGACATCTAACCACCGACCGTATCGGTGAGATGAGTGCGGATCAAAGTAACCCTTAAACAGTCGTAAAAATGTACCCGGCCAAAGACCTGCAAAGAGTTTTTGGTAGCAAGTGGGGCTGGGTGAAAATGATTAACTTAAAGGAGAAGGATAATTCAAACCAGTATCAAATTCCAGCTACCAGCAGAAAAAAACACCACGTGTCCACGAGTGGGAGGTCATAGTGGATGACAAACGTTTGAACAAAGCTTGACCGTGATTCGCCCAGTTATCACCATGTAATCCTCCGCACAACATGAAGAAAACAATGTGTGAATACAGTTCGTTCCAGCTGTGGACATCGAAAAGCGGTGGATCAAGTTGCCATGACTAAGTCGTCAGAAAAAAAAACAAATAACAACGGCGAGAAAATAATTTTGAACGCAGATAGCACAAAAGATGGAATCAATAAGGAAGTGTGTTGAACTAACCGCGAAGGCGTGAAAATTAACGGCTAGATGCAACAAACCCAATGCAGGAGCACCAGTGAACCTGCGACTACGTAATGTCTGGTAGGTTCTCCAACTACTGGTTTGGATCATCCCGGTGCCCCATAAACGAAGACGGCACGCACCAATCTGTGTGTCTCTCAGTCATTTTCCTCATGCCCTTATGTCACGTCGCCGACTAGCTATCCTGCGGTTTCGCCCAACTTGGTACAGTCACGGCGTATAGTGCACGGAGAACATAACCTAGCCAACATAAGCGGTTGGACTTTAGCAAACACTCCAGTGAGGCACCGAAGGGTTTCTTGCCAAAAGCTATCTGGCGGATCTCAGCACTGCTCACCCGGTGTTCCCATCCAACGTAAACAATACTCCGCAAGCACCTGTGATCAAATACGGTGAATTGCTTACTGCAAACTGACCAGGTCCTCTGACCCATACAGTAACACCAACTTTATCACAGCGTCATGTACCCTATCTTTTACAGGCAGGCTGATATCCCGCCGTTTCCATAGATGGTTGAGTCTCTGGAAAGCCTTGCTGATACGCGAACTAACTTCCTCGGTGGTGTGACCACCAGAAGTGACACAGCTACTAAGTTTACGGATTCACCACTTCCAGAGGCTGTTCGCTGATAGTTAAAACGGATGGCGTATCAGTCCAGTCCTGAGACAGTACTTTGACTTCGAAGGCACAAGCATATGCCGAAGCGTGCAGCGCTACGCGTCAGTCTATCCAGTGGTGCTTGCCTAGCCACTGCGTCAGACCCCAAAAGAGATATATATGTACTTCGCACACTCAGTCTCTGTCAGTCAGTGACCTGGTAGAAATTCCACTCCGGAATAGTCTGAAAGAACGGAATCACTTATGAGCATTACGATCGCAAGGTTGGAGAGAAAAGGGTATATAGGACAACCCACTTGTCGTGGGGAATCCAGGAAATAGCTTCCAGCAGAATCTTACCCGGTCTCAGGAGTCACAGTAGAGACTTGGAGGTGGAAAGAAGTTTAGCTTACACGCGTTTCACAGATAGGCAGCGCCAAGAGTTGGCGCGATCAACAGAGTCGAAGACGGTTTTCGGGTCAAGGAAAACCCCAGTAGTAGATCGTCTTTAAGTGTCTCTACGCTAACAAGACAGAGAATAGATACGTGGTCGGTGCAACCACGAACAGCTCTCACGAGGACTAGTAATCGCTAAAAAATGATACCCGTGAGAAATTTGGATGTTAGCATTGAGTCGCATCGAATTGGTGTTATTGCTAACGGCTATTGTATTCCTGTAGGCTTCTGAACCTTGTGAAAGTTGAAACAATGAGGAGCAATTGGTTTACCATGACCGCAAACCCTAGTCTAAAGGCAGCATGACAGCAAACACAACAGCTAATGGTGCTGCTTATAATCCGACATCTTTCCAGAAGTTCAGTAGTTTCCATTAAAATCCAATGAATTCACTGCGGCAGGGGTACCATGCTATGCATACTCAGTTTCACCTCACCGCTGTACGAATTAAAGGATTAGGTTAGGTAGATTATTGATTGCCCTTGATCATCAAGGGTTAGAAACCATCATCAAAGTCTTGCGGAGCTGTCAAGCTCCCATACTAATTATTTATGATATGGCGGTAAATCCAGAATTAATGCAGTAAACTGTTGGTAAGCCAGGACTGTCTACCTCGGAGTTTCTAAATCCACAAGAACGTGCCTAAGTGGACAAAGCGGTCAACCAGTGTGTGCAACGAGGAGGAAAATGAGAAATTGAACTTATGAAGAATTATGCATATCTCCATAGGTGACAACCACGAGGAGAAGGTTTAAGTTGACAGAAAATATATAACAGCCAGAGGAAAATGTCATCTTTTGGTCACGTCCTGCCGTCGGGCGTGTATGGTGCCTGTCCCCCAACATCCGATAAAATCCAATCAAGTACTGGCGATGAATATGGCAGTTCAATTCATTATGCCTACGTGCTCTGGCCGTAGTTTACAAAAAGCACGATATGATAGCATATGTTGGCAACTAGTATGTAAACTACGGTGATCAGATTGTAATCGGATATTTTGATGGACATACTTCAGGAGAAGCGAGGCCGATTGTGGAATTCTGATCAAGAGTCGGCACGTGAATTCTTGAATCCGAAACGGTTTCTCTGGAACAATGGACAAAAGATTAGGACTTATCAGACGGATGTGATTCGAAACGTGAAAAGGAGCAGCACATGAGTGAAAGCATCTCGCCTAAGGCAAAAGGCCGCGCTACCGGTTTAAAAAAGGCAGCTAAGTAAAATGTGAGTGGTTATTATGTCAGAATGCCGGAGGACGCCAATTATGACTGAGATCAGCGGTACGCTCGAAGACCGTAGCATACCAGACGAAGATGGTCTTGAAAAGTAGATATGCATCACAAAATATCTTCCCTAACATCTTGGAACGTTAGTGACCTAAAAAATGACGGGCAAAGTCAGAGGAATATGCAAAAGAGCGGCTCCCATTAATGTCATATTTTATGATGCTCAATGACAAATAGGATGCCGAGAGAAGTGCATTTGTTTTACTGTATTATGCAAGGGCATTGGAGGAAATCTGAATGCTTCATAGCCTAAATTAAACATAGGGATTTCTCTATGGAAAAATGTGCTCACTAATGCGTTCGAACAGTGCATAACATTTTCAACGCACGTGATAGGGTCTTTCGATTTTTCTGACCGGGAATCAACGGGAGTTGCCGAAGGTATTCGATCCTGCGACGAAGATGCTGGACCAGTAGGTTTCTCTGCGGGTTTCTCTGAAGCGGATGATCTGCGCTGTGTATCTGGTACAGAATTGAGATTTTTCGTGTGGCTACTCTTCTCGGGAGCAGCTGCTCGACCGTTCTGTGGCTGTAAATATCAGTGATAAATTATTGGATAGAAACGTCGCTTGCTGAACTGTGTGATAAATAGTATTGTGATTGTTTCGGTGTATCGGAACGAACATTTCGACAAATCGGTTAACGCATACGGAGAGAAGTCTGCCAGTCTGCAATTCGCAATTTAAGTAGCGAAAGAAGATACGAACAAAGTGTGGATTCAGTGGAAAGAGCTCAAAGTGACGGGATTGATGCTGAGTACATATTATTATGTCTCAAAAGTAAGTGTACTGATGTACTACTAGACAAAATAACACCTCATGAGTGGATGTCGGCGCATGAATAGAGGTCTTAACCGCATGTCTAGACTTGTTTCAACTCGAAGTAGTTTGTGTGAGGTCGCGTGTTAATAGCTTGTTATGTTTGCAGTGGGGCGAAATGTCCAACAGCAGTACGCTATCAAATTTGGTGTAAAACTCATGAAATCGGCCACCAAGACATTTGAAAACTTAACGGAAGCTTATAAAGATGCCACTCTATCGAGGGATATGGTTTGTAGGTGGCATAAAGCTTTTAAAGAGGATCGAGAAAGTGTTGAAGAGTAACCTGTTTCCGGAAGGCCATTCTTGTCAACAAACGATTAAAATGTAAAAGTTGTGCGAACTGTGCTGGCGAAAACGATGATCGTCAATTTTCTGACAGCCGTAGAACTGTGTACAAAGAATTCGTACCACCAGAACAGAGAGTTAATCAAGCTTTCTAGAAAGACGTCTTGGAACGACTTCGACATCGGGTCTAGCGAGTCCGAAGGGACATTGCAGATGATTTGGTGCTGCACCACGATTACGCGCTAACTCACACATCGCTTTCATTTCGAGTTTTTGGAGAAGAAACACATCCCCACATTAGCACAACTTTCCTATAGACCTGACCGAGCTCCCTGCGATTTTCATTTATTCCCTAAGTTGAAATCTATGTTGACAGGTCATCCTCATGGAACCGTGGAAAACATGGAAAAATTGCAACGAATATACTTAACACTCTTACGAAAAATGACTTTCAATACTGCTACGATCAGAGGAAAAACACTGAAACCACTGTGTATCTACACAAGGGTCATATTTTGCAGGACATAGCTTGTAATTTCGAGTGAGTCTTATATAAATTTAAATAAAAAGTAGTATACTTACCTTTGGGATACAGGGGTAAGTACCAGGTATACAAACGAAGGTCAGATAATTAAAGTTCCGTGCATGTACTGCCGAAAATACCCCTCAGAACTCAAGTTTCAGCTTTGCTGCTATTCAGTTATTCAACTATGACCACAAAGTTGCGTTGGACCGAGATGTCACAAATCATGATGTTATGGTGTTAATAATAAAAATAGGCGACATAAGATAGTGGGATCCCACGTAGAAATGACCAAGGCAGCTAAAGGCAAGGGCGCCTTTGAGTCTTCGAAAGAGCCATACTGGGGGATCTATCACAACTGAAGTGACCGATTCGGGGGGCTCATCGAAGAAAAGCATCAGCAGTACGCAGGCACGTCCTACTGACCCTTCACTGCCACGCTGCCACCACCGGTCGCGCTTGGATTGGGTGTACCGTCAGGTCGCCAGCACCTACGCGGAATCGAACCGATGACTTCCGGATTACAAGGCAAGCGCGTAATCATTTCGGCCACCGGCCGGTGACTGGACCGTCTAGTCAAGCCCATCGGTAGATTTGCCCATGCTTTTTCGCCGCGTCATCTGCTAGGCATTGCGGCATCCCACAGGCATACGAAGGATAGGGCCTAACCAATGTAGGAGGTTCGATTTCAAATGTCATTTAGGCGCCGCACTAGAGGGCTGGTGAACACCGGCATTACCCACCCACTGGCACATCTATATAGAAGAAATACCGTCCTGGTCATTTAGTATCAGCTCTTTCGTTGCCAACATTAGAAGACTAGACAATCCATGAGAATGATACTCAATAGGCCTGCAGGTAAGCACAACTGTGAGTCTGAAAGTATGCATTGGAGTGCAAAAAAGAAACGTGGGCAAACGTAGACTCAACACGGTTGACAATAGTTGTATGTCGAACGTAACTAACGGGGAACACACCTTGTCAACCCGGGGTTTATCAGCTGCTTTGTTCTTCGTAGGCTCCTTTGGAGTTATTCTTTCTTCCTTCTCTTTCGCTTTGTCATCTTCTTCTTCTTCTTCGCTGGAGTCGTCTTGTGTAGATACCCGGCGAGTCTTGAGCATGCATGAGTGATGAATGGGGAAGTGAGAGAAATTGGTTTTAAATTAACAAAAAACTGCATAAATGAGTGAGAGTCACTTATACTGTACATGTCTATCTGTTGAGGACTGAGAAGTGCAAGCGATGCCAAGTAAATGTCACGGATGATCTAGTTGCCATGACAGACTTGCTAACAGTCATGAATGACTGCACTGCAGTAAAGAATGCAGGAGAAACCTCAAACGGAGATGTAGGCAAGAGCACAAACGCTAAGGACTAACAATGAAAGAAGACAAAAGAGAGCAAATTACTCTGTCATTTTTTGGAACCAATGGTGACAAATTGGAAGCGGTCGATTCTATGCACCCTATTTTTAGTGCTTGATCATAGCGTCAGCTCCGAAGACGAGCGCCCCGTCTATAGCCCCTTGGTAGAGGACCCCACGCCTAGGGTATTTCTTTCCGATGGGTTCCCCTCTACGTCGTCAAATCACAAAAGCCATGTGTAAACACTTTAACACTTCAAAGTTGGCCCAGTCTACCGGAACTACCTACATTCTCGTGGAGTCGAAGCTAAGCTTTTCGCATCCCTCCCCTCAAGTTGACAGTGTGGGTTATATCTCATCTGCAATCTATCGTGATGGAAAAGCAGAGAAAAGCAATTGATAAAAACAAGTGGGTACATTAGGCGAGATGCCTGAGCAATCACCCGGAAAGTAAATGAAATTAAACCAGCCGAGTGAAACAATGCTCCAAAAAATCAGCGCCGAAGTGACAGGCTTCCAAACCTGGTAGATACTGTATCGCCGGAAGTTGTGAGGAAACGAGAGGCGAGATGGTAGACACAAAGATAGAACACGACGAACGCAGCTGAAAAAACTGCAGACATGGTTGGTGGCATCCGATTCCGGATTTGCCTGTCACTGCGACATACATAGCACAGCTGCAGAACGAGTGTGCCTACAGAGAGACCATGGATGGCTTGCGCTGTGGGTACACAGCTCCGTACACAAACACCATATCCAGTATACACCGGAAAGAATAAGATCGGGAGGAATGTGGATAGGAGCCATGTTTCACCAACGGAGCCAGCCCACAGCAGCAGAATTCCAGCCTAATTGAGGAATTATGTGTATCAGACGTACACGTAAATATAAAATAGTGCGGGGGATAAGACGCAGCCTTGCTTCACACCAAGGACAACATTAAAGTCTTGCGAGGTATGTCCATTAAGCTGCACCCTCGACCGCATACCACTGTACGAGAGAAGCATCAGTAGTACGCCAGTACGTAGTACCGACGCTTCGCTGCCACCCAACAACTACCAGTCGAAAGTGGCGAAGGAAAAACCGAGGGTTGCCCGGCCCCCTATGCAGACTTTAACCCGCGCCCTCCGATTACAAGGCAGGCTTGGGATCCTTAAGGCTACGGACCGGCTGTACCAACATTAAAGTTGTTGGCGGAGTCTTTGAATTGGTTTTTGTCGCACTTCCCGAAACAAGTACTTGCACTAGCTACTGTGAACTTACCAATTCTGAATGAATCATTCGATGAATTCTTTGGCTAAACCATTTCAAGGTCCCTGAGGCCACTGAGCTCTACCGATTCTTTGAAAAATTATCCGAGACACCACGCATGACTCGCAGTTTGCTACTCTCCACCAGATGGAACGAGATGTCAAGAAACCTTTTAGCAATATCTGACCTTCCCGACCAGATAAAGAACCTTGCTATTCTTTCTGTCAATGGTGCTCTTTGCTCAAAGATGCGAAACTATTTACTCAAGTGACATCTGCGCACTGTTTTCCCATTCTGTTTTTACATTTGTAAAATTTTCATATTTAGTGATACTGTTGGGACTTAGCAATACTCTTCACTTTGGATTTGGTCCCAGTGTTGACTTCTATGTAACCCGTGGTTCTAATAGAGGTTGCGTGTCGCAATCTGGACATACGATGAGCATTCCAAACTCTAACGATGAAGATCGCTGGATTTTTGAAAAGTGCCAATCACGCCATCACCAAAGGGAAGAGCAGGTATTGGCCCATCGCGTGCACTGCGGTAGCCTTGAGAAAACATTTATGTTACTTTCACCTGTAGTGTGGGACGCCTATCTAAAAGGATAACGAAGCACTGTGCAATGGTGTTGCGGAATGGTACCGTCGTTTGCATCAATAGTTTCATCCTGGAGCATGTGATTCAAATCGGACACTGAATTAGGACTGCTGATGCCTTCAAAGTAATTGGTCGTGCTATAAAGGTACCCCAAGGGGTCTAGAAAAAGAGCCTTAAGGACGACCGAAGCCATCGCGAACAGGCTAACACAACCTGAACTATGCAGAATGCTCTTATGCAAGCTCTCCTTCTACCATGGCCTTTGTGTAATTCCAGATAGCTCTCACCTCACACGAGAACAGTGGTCGGGTGATATGTTAGACATTCCACCAGTGAACCGGCCCGTGCTTTATTTCGTATGCATGCATGTTTGCGTTTACTTCGATACCTGCTACCAACTTATCGATCGGGATGGTCGAATTTCTGTCCCTTTGTGATTCCACCAATCAGTGCCTTGCTTCAGTAGCCAATTGTGTTTCGATATCCAATTTCATGCTTGTAAAAGCCTGACGAGAGTTGTTGAGAACAGTACTCTTCGTAACCTTGCGTTCTTGCAGTTCTATAGGCATAATTTGACTCAATTTTATCTGCTGCTTCAGTAGGGGGAGTTCTGACAGGTGACGGATTGACGGTCGTGGAGTACACCGACGACGCAGTTCTCCTGGGGTCGGAACCGACAATCATACAAGAGCAACTGAATAAACTGACACAAAGAACCGTACGTCTCGCTTTGTGCTTCGAGCTTTCAAAGAATCGGAAAACGTGGTCCTAAGATTACTAACTCTAACATCTATTGAACAGCCACCCAGATCAATCGATTGGCTCATCCATACTAGTGGATCTATCCTCTCTAGTGGCTACATCTCCAAGATAACTGCGCGCGTCACCAAAGATGGTGTAGTTTCTCAGTGCCTCAACAAACCATGGAGATGGCAGGAATCTAGCTTCACAGTCAAAGGTGGAAGTACAACGCTGTAGTAAAGCCGGTGCCAATACATTGATCACAAATATGCCAATAATGCATCGGAGATACAAAGGAACTAGTAATCTTTCATTACTAGTGCTTGCGGAGCATTGATAGGAGTACCAAGAGGGTGCTGTAGTCCCTTAGCTGGTTCTTAAGATCGGGCGACCGTTTCGCATAAATCGCGTGTGTGCCAACCACTTAGTGTACACCGTTGCCGTTTACTGGAGCTGGGTGGGCAAAACTATGGGGTCAACAATTGATGAGACGGTGGAAAAGTATAAGGTAATCGTTTGAAAGAGAATGGTCAGATTGGCAGTACATAAACAAATCGATTTCATTGTCAGTACGGCGAAATGCTTACAAGTGTCGGCTGCAACCGCGAGTGCATGTTACAGAGATATCCGAGTGAATAGAACCTGATACAAAGGAACCTGATACAAAGAAATGAAAACCTAGGCGAAAGGGCAAGAGTCAGAAGTTGTCGTGCCAGTAGACAGGTCAGAACTGGGAAGACGACCAAAAGGAAAACCCTCTTATGTTTAGAATCGCGCATGCAGTGGGTAGAAGGTTACTAACCTTGGGAGCGGCGGAAGCTTGATGCTGGATTTTGGGAACTAAGCCGCCTGAACGAGGCTGTCGCTGGTTTGTGGTTGGAAGAGGTAGACCCGTGCGCTTTGGAACCGATGGAGTTGATGGACCGTTTGCGGCGACAGCCGCTTGGCGCTTCTTTTCGGCTACAGTCATTGCTCTGGCAGGCGAAGCAATGGCTGAGGTCTTTTTGCTCGGTGGCCCAGGGCTTGGTGGAGGAGGTGGTGGGCGTTTTCGAGGGGAAACAGCAGTTACGGATTTGGTGAGGTTGGGTCCACTAAGCCGCGTAGGGCGAGGTGCTTCAGGCGTAGGTTCGATATCATTCTCATCCTCTGGGTCTTTGATTAGTTCAAGTTCCTCCTACAATGGACCAAGCAAGACATTTAAGTATGCAGAATGCGAGCGCAAGAGTAAAGTACCATTACAAATTGAAAACATGCTACCACTGACACTTGTGGATAAAACACACGTGTACCTCGAACCGTGTATATCAGAGCGTCAAATCTGCATCGGTCTGTCGCAGTGCAAGATAGGGGAGGGGTAACAAACCTGACTTGCAAAGAAGTGATAAGTCAGAAGGATTCAAGTCGCTAAAGAGTATGGTAATAGTGAGCCGGTCACCAAATAATTCCCCGACAATTCAACGACTATTGCACTGTCATAGTAGGACAAGCCCACTCAAAAGTAAGTTAGGTGTACTAATTACTAAAAGCGTACAATAAAATAGGTGAAGCAAAAGGATGATAAGTGACCAGGACGTGAAAGAAGAAAACTGAATCTAAACAAAGCTCAGCTATCACTAAAACTGTGATCGGGCAATATAAAATAAAAAACATAGGTCATAACAGGATCACCAACCGTATCGGAATAGGCTAAAAAACAGTGAATTACGAGCACTTCAAGTGATCAAGTGATCACGCACTTGTGTATACCTGCCATCCTTGGAGTCCGATTTCTTAAGATGCGCCCTGTCCCGCAAACGGGAACTAGAAGTACGCAATGCGTGTCGAGAACGAAGTGGACTATGAAGATTAATTTACTACTTTAATGAGCGATGTGGATCGCAGGAGGCTAACACTCGGCGTGTTAAATAGTTGCAAATACAGCGACGTTAAAGTAAGCAAATGCGCGAAGAATATTCTTTTCGATAATTCTCATCGGGCGTGTACAATTATGAAGCAAAATATTGGAGAGAATAAAGCTCGTAGAGGCTTGTACAGAACTCATTAACTGGGCAGTATGAAAACTAAATCAATGGTTTGATCAATCCGACTATCGCATTAGGAAGCAGGTGATCAAGGCAGGTCATATGTCAAGTTCAAGGCCAAGGCAATTTCAGAACCTATTTGCACAGCTCTGGTTTTAGAACCTTGATTGCAATGGTTTCAGAAATAGTCAACAGATGTTTCTTAAGCTGTTTTTGGTAGCGTTTAGGGATAATGTAAACGACTTGAAACGACTGGTTCATCTGGACTTGATATTCATTGTCAACCAAGTGTTGTAAAATGGAACCGTTGATGGATTTTACGATGCCTTTTCGTAGTGACGCAGGACAATGTTCAGCGACTCTTTTGGACAAACACCTAGTCATATGTCCAAGATACTTAGCACCACAGATGCAGGTGAACTGGTATAAGACAAACGATTCGAACCGAACCGGAAGTTTATCATTTAAGCGCTGAAGAATCAATGGTCTTGTTTCGGCAAGTATTTTTAGATTGGCGGCTGGAAATGTCTTGGCCAATGCGGTTGAATAGAAAAATCTTGACCGCTACAGCTTAAGAAACATCTGTTGACCATTTCTGAAGCCATTGCAATCAAGGTTCTAAAACCAGAGCTGGGCAAACAGTGCAGACTGTTACAGGCTCTGAAATTGCCTTGGCCTTGAACTTGACATATGACCTGCCTTGATAACCTGCTTCCTAATGCGACAGTCTGATTGATCAAACCATTGACTTAGTTTTCATACTGCCCAGTTAATGAGTTCTGTGCAATCCTCTACGAGCTTTATCCTCTTCAATATTTTACTTCATAATTGTACACGCCCGATGAGAATTATCGAAAAGAATATTCTTCACGCATTTGCTTACTTCTGACTTGAATGGGGATAATTTATGAACAGCGATGTTAGTTGAGGTCCGAAACGCTTTCAAACGTCGATGATCAGGTAGTTGAGGGCGCTATTTCTTAACATGTAAGCAGTCGCCGCGGATGCAAAATAAAGCCTGTGATATTCAGACGTGAGTAGAAAGGGACTAGAAGCGGAAACCATGAGAAAATGAAGTAAACGATGGAAACGCATCGCCGTGTGAAAGTTATGTTACTATGGGATATGGTTACATCAAACTGCGCTTGGGAGGATAAGCAGTGTGGTAAAAAGGATCGACAAATCCCACGACACTGTATGCTATCCATTGCAGTTACTCTCGAGCATTCTGATGGGATTGGCGCTGACACAGTTAATGGCGTTCCTGTATTTGATGTCTTGCGCTTAACGGTTAGGTTTCCAACTTAGTTAACGCTATGTAGCCCATTCCACAAACCACCTTGCTTTGTATTCCGCTTCTTATTCTACCGCTCTCCCCAGCAGTTTTTATAATCCTCATAAGTTATAGTGACAGTGTGTCATGGCAAACAGATTCGCTGAATTCGCGTGCTCGGATCATAGGTGTTAAACCTGTACTAAGAAAGCCAATTTAACTACTTTCGCGAATTGTTGGCACCTGTGGTACCTTAAGCGAGTTCCTTCGGCTGTATAGGCTGCAAAGTTGCCTTCTGTAAATCAAGAAATCTGCGGGCCATCACAAATCAGTTCTAAGATACGTAGTTATTTATAGAGTACACACAGTATTTCGCTGTTGTCCGTTCACTGAGTGGCCCTTGTGACCTGGCCGGTGATGTTAGCAACATCCCATTGATCCGTGCTCGTTCTCCACGCTTACCGGGGTCATGGTTACGTCGGGCCTCGCTGTTGCCATCCCGGATGGACTGCACAGTGACGTCCGATTGGCCGTTCGCCCATTTAGTTGATGATCTCACGAGCAGTCATTTGCAACAGCTGAGCGCGTTGTTAACATGAAGTCAGACGTAGGCCTTCGCCCGCCATACGGCCAACCAATCCGCTTTCCACTGTCCGGAAGCATGCTCTTTCTACTTCGCCGTGGACAGATCAGTCGAGCGTGCTCAGCTTTCGTCTAATCGGCCTCCGCATCGATTCCGCTTGCCTGTGTCTCAGCCACCATCACACAGAGGATGCTCTCCCAATACAGAAATGAGGATAGAAATACCCATCCTGCAGATCTGAAGCACCTTCAGACCTTTGACTATCCTTACTTATGTAGAAACGCTAGTGTCGGACAGCTTATCCGTATTCGAAACAATGAGGTGCGCGAGAGAGCGTCAGGTGCTGATTCGATTCAGTTCAGTTCAGTTGAACAACTATGACTCCATCAAGGAAGTGCGGTGGATCAAGTTGCAACGACTCATGTCGTCAGAATAACAATAAATAACAGTGGTAAGAAAATGAGGTTGAACGCAAATAGAAAAAGAAAAATTGGGATCAAGGAAGAATTGCACAAAACTATTCGACATGGAATGAGAACTGATAGCTATATGCAACAATCCGAATGCAAGAGCACTGACTGCGCGATATCTCATAGGGTCTCCAAGCGCTGGTGTGGACCATCCCGGGGTTCTCGTCCACGAAAACTGCACACACTAATTTGACCGTCTCTCTGTCGATTTCTTTACGCCTTTATGCCATATCATCGACTGTCCATCTCGCGGTTTCACTAAAATAACTGCAGCCACGGTGTATAATGCACGGAATACATGACTTAGCCATCATAAGCGGTTGAGCCTAAGCAAACACTCAAGTGAAGCACCAGAAGGCTTCTTGCCAAAAAATAACTGGCGAACCTCAGCATTGCTCACTCGGTATTACCACCAAATGTGAGCGATACTTTCCAAGCACCGGTGGTCAAATACGGCCAAGCGTTTAATGTCTCCACTGCGAACTAGCCATGTCTCTTCTCCACACAATAACACCGGCCTTATCACAGAGTTATACACACTACCATTCAATGAGACTGATAATATTGAGTTACTTAACACAAACAAACAACGTGAGTAACTAACAATGTACCAGGGTAATCCACACTAACCTGTTTCTTGCGGATTAGTTTTTCTAGCTCGGCTTGGCGCTGTTCTTTCGTTTTGATTTTTCTTCTAAGTACACCCATAGGTGCACTCATATCCTCCTCTGGATCATCACAACTAAAACACAAGAACAATATAAACAGCATGCTAGAAATTCGCATAGCTTAAGTAAATCAAGGCGAGTTAAGTGCGACGCACAACCTATAAAGCCCATCACAAACTGCATGCCCATTAAAAAATAAAAAACTCGGCCGAACAGCTTCTACACGCCATGTTGTACATAGCTGCTGTTAAAGGAAACTCTGGGTAGAATTCTGTCCTCTGCAAGGCGTGTAGCTTGCGCAGCTGTGGAGGGTGAGCCGCGCCACATGGCGGTTTGCTTATCAGTCATGACGGTCTCGTACCGTTACTCGTGATCTAGTGGCTTGAGTCTCTGGTGTCTATAAGATATGGGTTCGGTTTCCAGTGGAACCGAAGGGTGTGCACTACCAATGGTGAAACGGCCATCTGGCGTTTTCCCGGATGTATGGGAGTCTCTCTTGCTTGAAGTTAACTGCGGAGAACGGTCTATCGAATACAAACAGGATAGATAGTAGCAGAATAATGATAACAAAAAGGATAGGAAATAGTACCATTAGGGAAACGACTTTGAAAATCAATGGTAAATCTGCCTTGGGCGATGAAACATGAGACGACCTAGGACTAAACTAGAGGTTCAACATCCAAATGGACCTAGTATGAGTAGCAAATACCCACCGTTTATGTTTGTGGTCTGGATTGTCCCGACATTGCCAAGTGTCCGGGACATCGCGACCCACAAGGCTTTGGGAAAAGGGAAGGATCCTCCATTTTAAGCATTTGTCTGTCAATGGAAAGCCGAAACATAAAACTAGTGGGCTAGAAAAGTGCACAGCATTCACGAGAACAAAGAATGAGGATAATAAAACGTGTCGCTCCTTATGGAGTGGGAGGAACAGCAGGGGCACAATAATTCGTGCTTCGAAAAAGACTCGAAATCTCACGAGATCATTTCACTAGGAAAAGAACACAACACCGGAGTACAAATGAAGAGGGTGGAAAAGAAAGATCAGACAAGACACAATCCATGTAGTGGTGTTGATACAATTGCTTCCTATCAAAAACCCGGTCAACTCCAGATTACCATGGCATCAAGATCATGTCAGTGTGATGGAAAACTAGTTGAAGTGTAGGACATAAAGATAAGTACCGATTGGGATTACAGGGCTAGAAAAATTGCGTTCGGTGGGGGGGGGGTAGTTGTAATCAAACACCCTAGAACCTCTTTCACACAGAAACCCAGTGATTCGACGGGGAAGCGATGAGATGGACAAGGTGACATCTGACAGTGGACGGTTAGTCTCCCAGGAAACCGGTGTGGTATTCGGTGATGGAATCAAGTCCTTCTCGTTCCCGACCAACCATGAACTTTGGTGCATTGTCTGCAGATAGTTGAGTCTATGATTCTTAGTTATCATGCGAAATGCAGAGGAGAGGTATCCCACTTTGCAGTAAACCAAATTCTGGACAGCAGAACTAAGATCGCCTGGCCGAATGAGTATATTGCTACGACATACACAAAATGACTTAATCTAATCCGGTTCTAGGCAAACGGATAAATAAATAGGGAGTGTAATCTAAGTAAAAGGGAGGATTAGGTTCAGTGTTAGCGAAATGGGCCGAATTTTTTGAAGCAAAATACTCGACCCATGCATCGGCCTAATGCAAACGGTCCATGTAATTTACGACTGCCAGTGTTCGGCCGTAAGTTCATCACGGTTGCCGGTGCGTGTTTTAACATTAGACGTCGCAAAACTAACTTTAGGCCAAGAAAAATTGACTGTAGGAGTGACTAAATTTGATATCGATATCAAAGCAACAACAGTAGAAAAATTTTACGATTTTCGCTGCGTTGACTACAGTGAGGAAAACGATGGTGTCTAACGCAGATGAGTATACGATTGAGCACTCGGGTTAATTTGGACTCAGGAAACCAATCTGTAGTCCCTGTTTCTTTCACGACCCCATCATGATGTCATCGTGTTATTGCAATCACAAGAGAACACCTCAAGTAAAATTTAAATAGAAGTGGAAGACAGCCACCGAATAAAATCGATCAAAATAAGAAGCAGGAATAGATGCAATTAATAAAAGCTCATCGCAGCCAGACTCAGAAGGCTGCGTTGAATGCCCTAATCTGTGACAGCTCCCAAACATGCCAAACAGCACTGGACCGGTTAGCACTGGCTGTCAATCGTTTTGCGCTATGCTTTGCTTCATCGAAATGCAAAGTACTTCTCCAAGATTGGCAGGGACCCAACCCTGCGCTAACGCTTTGTGGTGATATGATAGAAGTCGTTCAGGAATTCAAGTGCCTGTGAAGCTATATTAGCACCCGTGGGATTGAAGATGAGGTTACGAACCGTATAGCAAAAACTCGAGGTGCTCTTGCTAAGCTCCGCCACCTGTGGCGCAGACGCGACATTACTCTCGCCCTGAAGGGCAGAGTTGACAGCGCTTATAACATTTATAACAAAGTTAACGAAGATAAGCGCAATTAGTGTAAGCAACGTGGCCAGTTAGGAGATTATTCAGGTAGGTAGAGCAAACCAAATAGAGTGGAATGAAATTTATCCACCTTTACAAGACTTAGTTTAAGTGTAAGTTGGTTTAGCCCAACTGCGGTGA